TGATGCCAAAGTGCAATTGAATATGCCAAAATATCTCTTGTTAATTAAAAACTCTTATAATAATTCACAATGGCTATATAAGTATGTATATGATGTCCAATAAACATAATTTCCATAATTAATCCGCACTAAACGGTATAAATGACATAATATATGAAATTATACAACCGGATGAACGACCGACCACAGATGATAATGCCGTAAGATTTAGTCGCGTTTCGATTTCAGTATTTCCGAATGTCCAAAGCCAAAAGTCGACAGCACGTATAATTTAGATGTTATATGGCTATTTTATTTTCCATGTGTGAACCTAACGCTTTTCTGCCTCCTCTAACATAAAAAGGTTCAGAATAACAGAGGAAATATTCGCAAGGAACAACGAGAGTGGGGCAAACCCTTGAAACAGCTTTAAGCAACAAAGCACCGACCCAAAATTAAGTATAAACTGAAACAAAGTCTGTTAATTATCAAGCTTTGTAACAACTTATCCAAGAATAAAGTTCTTCACGGTTTCGCGAATTGTTCGCGAGATTTAAACGGAATTATTTAAAGAATGTGACGGAACTCGCCGCAGTTACCTTTTGTATTCAATTAATTAAACGTATTCGGTAACGAATAGTTTATAAGTATCGATCGGAAATTTATTTCTACCTTCATTGTGGCCGGCGAAATTTGATAGCTTCCTGATTCGCAAACTTTAATCTATACAGTTTCTTAGAAGACTAATCTCAGAAACGACTGGTTGGAATCGAAAAAAAAGTTATGCATAGGCCATTTTTAGAAGAAGGCTTTAAAAGGTTTTAAATATCAGGCTGCGACCAATAGGTGCTAAGAAACACAGGTAAATGTGAAAATAACGTGGAAAATTCATCTTTGTGAGTTTCCGACGCGTAATAAAATAATGATCACTCATTAAATAATCTAAAAAAAATGTCCGCGGCACTATATGTCTATCTTTTAAGATTAACTTGCAAGAACGATGGGCCCGAACGACGGGTCGCGTACAACCGCGTACGCGACCGATGCCGTGGGCAGCTTAAATTTATAAGTAAGTTGATAATTAAGTTGAAGCGGTTTGCAAAACGAATTTGGATGCCCTAAATAAGTTATATTAAAAGACTTTTAAAACCGTAACATTCTTCTGCCTAAGATTCTGATAATTAATGAATGTTAATAAGATTTAATTAAACGTTATTTAAAAAAAAATATCCTTTCGTACTAAATTTGTTTTATTTTTATAAAGATTTCCTCTTAACTTTAAAGTCAATTGTATTTTTTTTTTCAAATATAATCGTTAGTTTGATAATCCTACATTAGACAACGTGTAAGCAATGTACTGTCACGATAGGCGTGTCGTGGGATTACAAAATCTCGTAAGTGGAACCGAGGCTTACTGGTTATGTAGTCCCTAATCTGAGAGCCAGCCAAGTGTGAGTTGGCAGATAAATAGATTAGACTGTTTATGACATATGCTTAGTAACGATTACCAAAATGTTGATTGGCTAACAATATAAGGGTCATGGATTCGATTTCTACCAACATATTTCTTAGACAAATCTATCATTGTTTTTTTAGAATATGTTGGACTTCAGGTGGAAAATCTGGATATTAAAAAGGTGGTAGGAATGTAAAAATCCTGTCCGGTCACGAACATTCACGGGTATTTCCATCATGGAAATACTTTATAGTATTAAGAGGCGTTACACAACACAATCTTAAAGGCTTTATTACTTTTCACATGTGCATTTGACGTTATTTAAATTACTAATATATTTAATTTTAAGTAATTTATATGGTTTTGATACCGTTAGTCATGTGCTTAGATTTGAATTTTTTCCATCTAAATAGATCCTTATTTATATTGTCAACATAATCTTGTATAGATGGCTAGTGTTTTCCACTTGCCATTAATGACCCCATATCTGTCTTGTTTCTTCATAAAAATGTGTATAAATCTTATGATACACAATTTCACTTCGGAAAATTCGTGAAAACAGCTTGCTGCTCGCTTTATTTCTTCAAAAGCTAGATTTCCTTAGGGACACAAATTTAAACAATCTCAAAGGAAGGTAATGGAAGAATTGTCAAACAGTTATATCTGTTCATTGCTTTTAGCTCGTATTAAAAACGTTTCATTTCTAACTTACCAAGTTTATATACAAGTATTAAAAAATAGCATATATATACGGTCTATAGTTTACGCGAGTAGTACACATTTTAATAAAACACTTTAGTTAAGCTTACGTACCTAGGTTAACTTAGATTTTTAACATCGGGCCGAAGTTAAAAATCATTTTCAAATAAGTTTAACTAATATATCGCGTTTTGAACCGTTAAAGTGTTTTATTTAAAAAATAGTCAACTCAACTTGACGCTAACCTTTCATATGTCTGCCAAGAATCTCCTCGGTCTTTTATATTGTCCTTAATATTATAATCATTGGGTCACTTGATGTAAATTTAAATACCCCAGCCGTATAACAGACTGAAACCGAAACGCGATTCAACTTAACTACTGTTCTAAATACGGTCGGTGGTTCGTGACCCTAAAAAAAATCTAAATTTCTTTTTTTACTGACAAAGGAGGATAAGCGTCAGGTTCACATGTTGGCATGTGAAATACCTCTATATATAGCATTTAAACAAGATGCGTTGTCGGCCTTTTTTGGCTTTTTCATCTGTGGACGGCTGTTCGTGACCCGGACGTAATTTCGATATTCCTACCCTACTTATAAACTACTAATACCAATTCAACTATATCTAAATTTTATAAATAAGTTAGACCTGGTGGGAATCGTACCCACGACCCGTTGGTTATAAGTTGCTACCATTAGATCGACGAGGCAGTTAGTTGTATAATTTAAGATAATATTGCTACTTATATAATTTCGTTGACTATTTTTGGTCTGTGTATTTACCAACTCCGCCCATTTCCTATTCGAGTGAAGTCTTCGCAAGTATAATTAAGGGAAGCTATATTTTATACTTTCATTTCCTCCAACATTCGACTTGAGATAATTCTTTTCATAAGCTACGCTAAGATTTAAGACTTAAAGTTTAACCTATTACATAGACCGCCTCTGTAGTTACATGTTGACGTTTCAACATATATTGCTAGCATTGCGTTGAGAGCGAGAGGTCCAGGGTTTGAATTCAGGGGAAACAAAAAGAAATTGTTTCGGTCTGGCAGGGCACAGAAGTCGGATCGGAGAAGTCAGAAGAAGAACGGATCAACGAAACGGACACAAAAATATGTTCGCTCCATGCACTACGAGGGGGAAAGTGCTTTCACTTTTTTAAACCCACAAATGGACACAGTTCCTTTCATGGACACAGATGTCTGATGTGATGAGAGTGGTGATAACAACAACAGACTCCAGGCTTTGCGTTGCAATTTGAATTTCTTGGATGAATTCCACATACTCTAGAAGCGTTCTACCCAATACCATCCTACCAAGGATCCGAATCTTAGACCTCATGATTTACAGTATTCTAACCGCTAGTTACGTGCTATGGAAATTACGAGCTATTTTGATGGGCTTGTTGGCGCAATAGAAGCAAGGAATGGCTCGTGGTGCTTGTGGTGTTATCAGGTCGTGCGTCCGATCCCCGCCGAGCCTAATTAATTCATAACTTTTCTGAATGTTGGACTTCATCTGGAAATTAAATGATGGTGGTAGGAATATTCAATTCATCAAAACCACCATCATTGCGTTTCGGTTGCAGTCTTTTAAAATATCCAAAGCCAAAGTAGGTAGACAACGCATCTACTGTATATGATATACGGCTGGAGTATTTCACCTACCACCAAGTGAATTCAGTGCTAGTCTGACCTCCTCTATAATTAAAAGAAGATATGTAAAAAAACCTAACATTAAACTTTGCTCAAACGACACGAGTAGAGTCAACTCGATATTGCGATGTATAATAAAAATTCTGCTGCGATATTCCCCAATACAATACAAAGGACGTCGGAATATCGACTTATCGTTTGATCGTTCACTTGAATGTCGATTCCTTTTCATCGGACGAGATTTCGAAAGTGAAAATGGCTTGACGTTTAGGATTCTGTAAAATGCTTTGTGATTTTATACTTCAAGGTTTGAAGGGCTTACGTCGATGTAGGTCGAATATCGTGAAATTCTTTGAACAGTTTAAAACAAGTTATTATATCACTGATCCAACAAAGGTTTTGTTGCTGGCAAGATTATTATTATGTTGATGCAACTCAAACAAGTAATTGGTAATACTATGAAAAAAATTTATACGGGAGGAATTCGAACCCACGATCCACGCTATTGCTGTAATGAACTCTAATTGTATTTTTGAATACACACATACCTACTACTTTTTAACGTTTTAAAATGCAAAAGAATAAATTAAGTAACATTCTAGTATGATGAGTGAAGATGTTTTATTCAAATGTTATTTTTCGATGTAATCTAGATTTTTTAAACGTTTAAAATACTTAATATTCGTTCCTCCCAAGTTCTCTATATTTTGTAAAACACAACGTATCAATAGACAGTTTTATTATTAGTACATTCATGCATAGTGTATTTTAATTTATCCAAATATCCCATATCGTCTACCACCTTCAAAATCCACTCCTTATAATTACTGAGTCTTGTGAACATGTCGGGAGCACCTAGTGCGCAGGGGATTCCCCAGGATGTGATACCAACTTGTTCGTTGGTGGCTGCACATACGAGAGGACTGCCAGAATCACCCTAAAAAAAAAACAACAATACCTCTAACGGTTCCTACTGTTGTTCCGTAGGCCTTAAATCCAATAGCCAAATGTGAGTTGGGCATATTCAATATAAAAGTCAATACAGTAAAAATTGGATTGAATATAGATGGTAAATAAAGTACCTATGTAAAGAAATACTATAAGCCGGCGAAAGTGCATGGTACGGCATACTTCTTCCCTGTTCTACTACTGAGCTATCGTATCAATACTGTCTCACGGTAGCTTAGTTAATGTAAAAATGTCAAAACTCAGTTCTTACTTTACAAGTTCCACTGCCAACCTCCTTATACGCACACAGCTCTTTATCTGGGTCAATAAAAGGGGGGATGAATCCAAAGTACTTCATTGCTATTCGTTTTGTTTCTTCTAAGCAATACGTTGAGTTAACTGTTACTATTTCTAGCTCTTCCAATTCCGGATTTAATGGTTCACTAAGCTGAAAGAAATAATTTTTGAAATTTACACATAGTAATATAGGTCACATAAGTATTTATCTGTTATATGTGAAATGTGCTAGTTCCGAAAATCGAATTGAGATGCGATGTCGACCTATTGGGTTATAATTCAAAAATACTTAGGTAATCCTCTATATTGATTCAACAAATTCGGTAGCTCAAATGCTTATGGCAGCTTTTGAGCTACTGGTTCCACTGGTGTTTTATTCGTGATCATCGATTTTATTTAACACCTGGGCAATACATATACCTATTGATAGTTCAATAATATAAATAGTTATTTAAACTACATAGTTGTTCAAAGTAGTACTTTTATCCTCCTCTATCATTATAAAGATGAAAGGGATAGTCAAATTTTCGCAACAATTACCACGCTATAAAGCTCAATATTCTAACAAAGTTAATATTAAACACAGTGAAAGACTGACACTGCTCGTAATTTAATTTCCTTAATAAGAAAGTTAAGGAAATTTAATTCCTGCCTCAAAAGATTATTGAAGTTATTAACATCGTTGAAATGAGACGGTTTAAAATAACTTTACGCTCTGTATAGTCGAGTTCCTTTGGACATTCGAGAATGGTTCTAGGAGATGTTTTGATATCGATCTGGAGAAAATTAACTACTTAGAATAAATTGGATAGCTAAATGATAATTATTCATACAAGTTTATTGTACTTTAAAGCTCAATATTGGTCTGAGTAGTGGGTTGGAATCCCGGGAAAAAGTGAAGCATTATTTCAGTTTGAAGGTTATAACTAGAAACTATTCTACAACATTGATTAGCTTGTTACGTTAAAGAATGACGGTACAATGAACGACGCGACTTCTGAAGCAAAAAGTTACGAAACACGCGATTAGCTCAGAACTAGTTTACACTCTTGTTTCACTCGCCGTTATCCATTTGTTTCAGTCGCTATTCGTCAAAAATCGCATTCTAGTTCGCGGGAATTTTCGCACCGATAAACATTCTGTGAATAGCTCTTGAAGATAACACACCACGAAACAGATATGTAATAATGGTTCATTTATTTGTTATCAAAGTAAACCTTTAGATGCGATGTAAATTAAAATCTTTTTAACCCTTAACTGAAGTCACATTCCAAAACTTTTTTTTTAAATATCTGTGTAAGAGGCAGTGCAAACACCTCCCCCCTTACCCCCCTCCGGCTGCGCTTCTCAGTACCTTCCGACTGTAAGCCGCCGCACGCCGAGGAGGAAGGACGCGCGAAATGCACCTAGACGCACCCACGACTTCTGTAAGCGAAACTTTTTCTCAGCACTACAGTTAAGGGTTAAAGAACAAGTATCTTTTACTTACCCCAGCACTGCCCCAGCCATAGATAACGACATTTACCCCATCAGCGATGTGATTAAAATTCAATGTAACTCTTTCCACTAGAGGCGAAAAAATAATGCTTGCATTTGTAACTACAATTCCTAAATCATTTTTCACATATTCCATCCTATAATTTGGGTGAGTGTAGTTCGCTATGATGCTGTAGTTTTGACCACTACCGTTAATTACATTTGTACCCACAGTCGCCATATATGAGCTGCAAATTTTTTTTGTATAGAAATAAAATAATAGGAGCGTGTGGGAATCGAACCGAGTCGTACATTATCATACACTACCATTGACCATAGGCCAACGAGACTGTGAACATTTTGAACCGAAAGGTCTTAAACACGAAATATGTATATTAGTTAACCTATTTGCAGATGTTTCGCAGCCGTGGTCACGGGGGAACTGAAGATCGAGGGTGTCCCTAATGTCAAAGTCAAATCTGCTGCGCTAGCGCCATCTGTTACATGTAGCAGTATTGACACCCTTTATCTTCAGTCCCCATAACCATGGCTGCAAATCCGAAACGTCGAGCCGTAAGTAAAATAAATTGTAAATAAGTTCATTAGTATATTAAACGTTTAAAATCGTGTTTACGTGATTACAAATAATTAATATTTTGACCGCCTCTGTAGCCAAATGGTTAAACGTATTGCCTAGCATTGCCTTAAGCGCGAGAGGTCCTGGGTTCGAAGACCAGGGGAACAAATAATTGATAGTCATTGCTAAAAACAGATAAGAAACACCATTACTTACACTTACCTACTTAACTTCCCATTTATGTACGCAGCACTCACACAATGGGCAGCCGTCAATATATGCCTCTCAGTCAGGACGGAACCACCACATTGGAACTTGGTTAGCACGTCACCATAGGACAATATGGCTATCCAGGGGGTATAATCTGCTTTCTCCCCTCCAGCTATTCGAGGGAGGAGGTCGAAGCGAGACGTCAGAGCTGCAAAAGGGAGGCCTGTGTTTATATATACCTATGAAAATATACATAGCTTAATATAAAAATCCTTACAGTTCGGTGCATTGTGAGTTTTAAATAAAATTAATTAAAATAAGAGGGTAGACAATTTGAATTGTGAAATGTAGACATTTTTACGATGAGGTAATTACGATATGGAATTTCAAGGTGCGATTCTTACAATGTTTTTTACAAACATAACAATATTTTTCAATATTATTATAGGATTTACTATAATATTCTTTTTAATAGAAATAACCACGTTTATAAAATAAACTCTTCATTAACTTAAAATTTAGATTTAGATAAATGACCCAATGTTTGAGAAGTTAGTATTATTTATACAGTATAAGTTATTTACTTTAAACGGTTTAAAACGGGAAATATACATTTTTTATATTTAACAGTGGCTGTGAGAAACAAATATGCCCATTAATTTCTTCTTTTTACAGTTAAAGTAACACCTTATTTTTGTTAAAAAAAGAGTTAGAAATGTCTTAATTTTAATAGAAAATATAACTCTTTGTTAAATAATTTCTTATACTTTAATAATTAAATAAATAATAATAATTTATTAAATAACTATAAACAAAATTTATTTTCAGTGGCCCCCGGGCGCTAGCACTTGTAAGAAACAATACGTGTTAAAAACTAAAATAACAACTCAGGCGTTAAAAAACAAACACATATACATCTAACGTGTCTTAATATTTAATTTTAATAACAAATAACTTTCAATACCAATCGATCTAGAAATCTAAATAAAACACCTTACCTAAAGTCGAAAGACCTACAAGCAGAAGTAACATTTCGGAACTGAATTTCAGCCTGAAAGCGTGAGTGCCCAATAAAGGATGTCTTATAAGCACTGACGATTTTATCTTTAATTTAGTGAATTTGCATTTCAAACACTCGATAACATCGCTTAATGATTACGACTTCGTAAAATACGTAACTTAGTGCCTTAGAGCTATTTAGTTAGTAGATAGCTTTTAATACTTAGACGAAAGTGGTTTAGTGGTTGTCTATTCGGATTAATTTGAACGTTTTGGTATTTTAATTTTTGTAACGAGTGTAAATGTTTAGGTTATGTGTAATCTATACAAATATTATAACGCTGAAGAGGTTGTTTGTATGAACGCGCTAATCTCTGAAACAACGTATTGTCGTGATAGATAAGCCATTTATCGAGGAATGCTTAAGGCTATATAATATTAAGCTGCGGCCAATTGGGGCGAAGAAATAGAGGGAAATGTGGAAAATTATTCATCTGTACAAAAGCATGATTCTTTTCTAAACGATTTAAAGAATCCTCGATAGTAAAGGTCTGTCTTTCTCTCAAGATTAACTAGCAAGGTCGGGACACGGACGACGTCGGGGGTAACAGCAAGTTAAAAATAAAAGACCAAAACTGGGAACTATTTAAATAAAAAACAGGTTTTGTGTAGTAACTCGGAATAAAATGTTCATTTCTAGGAAAGTATGTTTTTTTACAAAATTGTTTGGAAATCAAACCTTCGTCCATTCTTAATATTCTACTTTTTTATGTATATGTTATGGTTAACGTATCGATTTACAACTTAATTATAAAAATCTTATAAATTTAGTGAAGTTATATAGAAGGTATATTAGAAGGAGCTTCTGAAAACTTCTGCCACTCTAAAAACCAGCGCTGCCGAGTTTATTTATTTATATATTATGGATTTACGCTATTTAGTTATAAGTTCTAAGTTTACTAGTAATATATAATAATTAAATCGCTTTAAATTTCTGTTTGAATTTTAATTACTACTCCACAAACGGGCCCGTCAGAATGTATATATGTGTACCCTCCTTGATATTTCCCTTAATTGCTCGAGAGAATTTTCTAGAATCTACTTCGGAACGCGGAGGAATGTTCTCAGGAGCGCGAGGAGCTGACTTGTTTAGTTTCTTAGTGATTACAGGCCTGTCGACCCTTGTCACACCTCGCCGTAAGTGATCACGTGGCTTGGGAGGTTGAAATTGGAGAAATGCGGCTGTCCTGATACTCCATGATACCGCGACTTAATTTCATGAGACGGCACGTAGCTTAATTTAAATCGCATTGAGAGCCTCAAATTCGGAGGCTACATTTAAATTATCAGTTTAAACGGGTTAAAACGCGAAGTATAAAGCTGAAGAATTTGTTTGTTTGTATCTTTGAACCCGTTCATCTCAAGAACTATTGTGCGTATGAAGAAAACGGGAAAAATTATTCATTATTGGTTCCCGTTGCGTACGCTGCGAAAACGGCTCAAGATATCAAAAAAAATATGAAAGAATGCTTCCTCTTTAACTGATCTAAATAAATGTCCGCGATGCTATTTACGACTACTAAGAACGACAGGACGTGACCGACGTCGTTTGCAAAAGCTTAAATCTATAAAGATGAAGGGGAGGTTTGCAAAAACAAATTTTGATGTCTAAAATAACTATTCTACGCGGACGAAGTCGCTGACACTGCTAGTCATTTATATGCCTACTGGTACATTGTCTGTACTTCACGCCAGTAGTATTCATTTAAAGAACGTAGTTGGTACAGACAAATGGACAGAGTGAAATCTTATAATAGAGTTCCATTATTTTTTTCGCCAACTTTTACGGCATTTACGGCAAAGAATCCTTTAAAAGTACTGGTTTCAACTTAAATTTGTAAAATAAACTACAAACAATTCTTGGAATGAGCATAGTTTGTAGTTTACGCAGAAGTGTACATTTGAATAAAACACTTTTAACGGTGCCTAACTGGTTTAGCTAGTTTCAACAAATACCAACTACCAAGCAACAGATGGCGCCAGCGTAGCAGATTGGACTTTGACAATTAGGGATACTCTATGTTCAGTCTCCCTGTGACCGTGGCTTCTGCAATGCATCCGAAACGTCGGACCGTAGTTAAAATAAGTTTACTAATACGTTTCGCCTTTTAAATTATTTAAAATGTTTTATTTAAATACTCGTATTCTCTCGCAACTTAACTACAATCTCTAACTCTAACGCTAAAATTTTTGTTTTGTTTGTAATTGATAATTGTATGAATGCAGTAACATTTCAACGGTTTAAAACGCGTTATATTCTCGTAAACAACAGACAATACTTTAAAAGTAAAATTCTGGAAATATTAATGTTTATTACTACTTTAAACACGTAAATGTTTTCATTAACTTTTATATACAAGGAATAGTAATATTCAGAACGGTTAATAAGCGAAGACAGGAAATGACAAATAACATCTGAAATATAATTAATGACAGCTAAGAAAAAGATTAATGAAACTCATATCTTTCTGAGAAAAGAAATAATGATCGTAGCATTGGAACAAAACAAGAAGTATCAAGTTCTCCTGCCTGTATTGTCGAAACCTTGATGTAATTTTAGCTAAACAATAGCCAAATGACCTAGTTTTTGATCGACACCGATGGACACACATAAATAACTACACAATTTATACACAACGCAACCTCCTTTAAAAATATATATTTCAAGTATTTAAAACATTACTTGTAACGGTTTAAGACGTTTCTTTGTAGCAGCCGTAGTCAAGGGGGGGACAGTAGTTAAATTAAATTTGTAAAGTAAATTTCACGGTTCATTTGTTTTTCAGTAATCTTTATGTGCCAAACGGTAAATAAATCATTACGGAGAAATGTAATTTATCGAAAAAAGAATAACAACGTTAACGCAATAGCACGAAATGCTATAATCGCAGGTTCGAGCCTCGCTCGTGTTATCTTTGCTTGTTCAATCCTAAAAGATTAATGTTTATATTAAAACGTACTTTATACTTTCCGCTTTAATAAACGAAAGAGCTAAGATTTCGTCTTACGTAAATATTAGGTGAAGATTGTTTGCTTTGTTATGCATGAATTTCACCTTTTATTCTCCAATATACAGATAGATTATAATTTTTGAGAGGCTAATCGACTGATAAGAATTTCGGAAATTTCAGAGTATTATGGATACGTTTTTATCTATATTAAAATATTATATTGTGTAGACTGTAGGGTATATATGTTAGTTAAACTCGATAAATGGCTATAGGTACTATGTTTTAAATTAAAAAAAAAAAGGTCACAGGGAGACCACGGCTGCAAAGCGTCCGGCACGCGGACAATAATTTTCATATAAGTTTAACTAATATTTAACACGTTTTAAACCGTTTCAACCATTTTGTTTTTAAAGTGTCTTTGTTAAATGAGTACTACTCGCTTAAACTACAGATAATATTTAAGTAAGTTCACATTAGTTTATTCCTTGGACGATTACTTACTAATGTTTTCGGTCCGTTAAAAGTTCGATAAATATGTGTTAGTTGAACGTTTATTTTGACGCTTAGGGTAAGTGAAAAATCGTTAAATTGTTTCAGTCGGGTTCAGATGCGTCAATGATCCCCTTTACAAAAAAAAACAGATAGTGTACCGCATAACATCAACTTGCATTACTGCATTACTTCCTATGGCTTGATCTCATCTACCGTGTCAGTCTGCGGTATTTGTTATTATACGTTACTAGCTAGTGGTTTCGGTAATAGGTACGGATATAAAATAATAAAAATTATTCAACACTAGCTATGTCAGAAGAACTTTGAACCGCTTCCGCTTCCATCAGAAACCCACAGAGATGAATATTTTTTGCCGTTTCATCCACGTCTCCCGCTGTTCCTTCGCTCCTAGCACAGCACATGTTTTAAAGCCTGCCATACTCGATAAATGCTCTAACAAGATTAGTGCGTCAAACAAACTCGTCAGCTTTATATATATTATATATTAGTGAGTTATGACACATTAGGTAACTTATTAACTTGGGTTACTAATTAAATTAAATAAACAACAAGTTAAGTAGAATTATTTTGACTTTTAAACCGTTACAATCTTTTATTTACGCCATACATTAAATTCCAATATTGTAGAGTGTTGAAACACATTAGCTAAAAGCACATATAAACGCCCCACATTCTTCTCGTAGAGAAATCAATTCTTCCATATTTTATAGGGCACCATTAAAATAACACTCAATGGTTGCGTCCATTACAATAAATACGTACATAAATAACAGAGCTGAACGACGCTGACAATAAAAATAATGCTTTGTTACATATAGGAAGAGCATAGCGACACTGTACTATATATATATTTTATATATTTATACATTTTAAGTTTAAGTGTATATATTTTTTTTATCAGATTTTTGATACGAAAAATACCGGCGAGATGCCACTTACGACCTCAGCGTACCTACTAAAACGAGAGAGTATAGAAGGAGTTGTTGCTGATTCTTGCAGGAAAATTCCTCTAAACGATAAAAATAGTTTACTTAACTTCACTTTAAGGACTAAAAGGTTGCACACGAGTAATTTCATACAGCAAAATCTCTGCAATGTATTTTTTTATGATAGAGTAAGACAAACAAGCACGGGGTTAATAATAGGCCATATAAAAAGTCGGCAACATACCTATTGTGGCTTCGGATATTCGGTTATAATAAAAACCGAAACGCGATTAAGCTTCACGGCTTTCATTCATAGACCCGTCACCCGGACGGAATTTCAAAATTCCTACCACCAATTTAATGTCCACATTTTTTATAAATTGAAAAATTAAAAACATCTGGGGATCGACCCGTTAAACCAAACATTTTAATAAATATGTACACGATCAAGGGTTGACGTCCCGTCCCTCACCAGCGTAAACCGACCCGTTGGTTATTATCATAAATTGCCACCACGCGTCCATCGACAAATCTAACTTGTTTTTTTTTATATAGAAACTCTTTTGTCATATGAAAAATTTAA